CTCTACTTTGGGTTTTTATTTGAAAAAAAAATCAACCCAAGATTATCAAATTGGAGAAGAAATCAATAGAAGTACTAGTCAAGGAAATCTCACAGAATGTATGATGAAAAAAACTAAAAGAACATGTGGAAGAAGGGTAAGGGAAATATAGAACTTTTAGAAGGTCATGCAGTCAATAGGAGTCCCAGAAAGAGAAAATTGATAAATAAAGGGCAGGGCTAAAATAATGAGGTATCTTTTGTACATCAGATGATGTTACTTTACTCCTGATAGGAATATAAAGGGGCACAGTCATTTGAGGGAAACAGTTTGGTAATATAACTTAAAATTAAAAAGTCCCATATCCTATGACCAAAAACATTTGTTTAAACCATTCCAGAAAAACATTCATATGTGCAACACTTAGATGCTTGTTAAATGTTCTTAAATAATTCTTTTCATATCGGTCACTATATACACACACACACACACACACACACTCTCTCTCTCTCTCTCTCTCTCTCTCTCTCTCTCTCTCTCTCACACAATGTAAGCCATGATTCAAAAATTTAACTTCCAGGAATACTTCCTATAGTTATAGTTGTACAGGTGAGAAAAGACATTGAAATACTGATTGAAATAGTGCTTTTAATAGCAATGAAACTTGGTATGTCCTAAAGTCCATTAAAGAGGAAGCTGGTTATACAACAGAACATTCATTGGAAGAATGAGAAACTTCTCCCAGTTATAAAAAAATTTAAAGCATATATACAGAAGGATTATTATTCAGCCATAAAAAATGAAATTCTTTGTCATTTGTGGTAATATAGATGAAACTGGAAGGTATTATATTAAATAAGTCAGGCACAAAGACAAACACTATATGTTATCACTTGTTTGTGGAAGTAAGAAAGCTAATTTTAAACAAGGCAGTGGTGGAAACTTACAATCCCAGTTACTCAAGAGGCTGATGTAGGATTGCTTGAGTCCAGGAATTCAAGACAAGTCCTGACAACAGAGAGACCCCCATACACACACAGATAAGCTCATTTAATAGTAGAGTAGATTAGAGGTCACTACAAGTTTGGAAGGGAAAGAATGGAGGGAGGTTGGATAACTAATACCAAAATAGTTACATAGGAGGAATGCTAATACTTCTAATACTTTTTTCCTTTTCCTAATACTTTACAGCACAGTAGAGCGATTACCGTTCACAACTTACTATATATTTTACAAAGTAAAAGAGGAATTCATAGGTTCCCAACACAAATGATAAATGTTTAAGGAGGTGAAAATGCTGATCACCCTGATTTAATCATTACATACTATATGCACAGATTGCATTGTACTCATAATTACATAAGACTAAAYAATCAAAAATTAATTTACAAAATACTTGCTTAGCATTGTTGAGTTTGTATTGTTTTTAAAAATATTGTATCATTTGTATTGTTTTTTAAAGAGATAGGTTTTTATACCTAAGTAGTAAACTAGAACACAGTATATTTTGGGAGGTGGGATTTTTTTAAATGAATGAAAAAAAAATAACCATAATATGTAAATCAAAAATAAATGATTAGAGAACAAAATGTAGGTTTCAATTCTCTCATTATGAGAATTTAATTTGCTATGAAAGTGAAATATACTATTCTTAGATGAAAGAAATAAAGATTAATTTAGCTCCTTTTACTTTCAAAATATAAAACTTTGGCTTAGGTTCTCTAATAGAGATGGGCCTGCTTCGTCACTTCTATGTGAAGGAGAGTGTAGGTAGAAAGACCATGTCATTGAGATTCAAATACGTATCTCAAAATAAACTTACAATTTAACCCAATACCACTTGTCAGCTTGTACACCGGGTCCTATGGGAACCAAGGTCCAAGTACAAGAAATTCATGCCTTTAGAAAACTAGTCATGATTTAATTGCAAAATGTCTCCAAGAGACGAGATAGCATATATGCTTTTAATATAGATAACTATTAGTATCCTCATTTGGCACATAAAAACCGAGGCTTAAGTCATCAAATAACTTATACCCAAATAACTAAATTTGGAACAATCTGACTGCATACCAGGGCTTTTCACGTTTGCATCTTCTTYCTATTCATTTTCCATCCAGAGCACACACAGATCTTCTGAGGACGTCAGATTAAGAAGTCTGATCCAGCAATGAACAGTCACGGTGGTTTTRGTTTCCATGGTAATTGCTAGGTCATATTTCTAAAACAAAAGCAAAGCAGTATTCTAAATCCTAAGGTGACTGACTAGAGAGGTTCCCATTTTAAACCTTCCTTTAACTCCCCCTCCATACAAAAACCTGTAACGTTCTAAAACCCTGGGCATCCATGGAAAAATGAAATTATGCCATTTATAGTAAAATAGATAGAACTAGAGACCTTAATGACAAACAGAAGATCAAAGACAAACGGAAGATCAAAGGTCATATGCCCGTCTCTCAAATGTGTAAACTAGAGAGGAAAAAGAAAGGTGGAGGGGTCAAGGATCCCATGAAACCAAAGGGAGATCAGTAGGGAAAAGGGACCAGAGGTTGGGAAGCAAGAGGCAGGTGCTGGGGAATGATACTGGCTAAAGATTGTTAAATTGTGTACATGTACCAGTATGTAACAACAAATCTCATCTTTACCATAATGCACCAATTAAATAAAAATTGAAACCAGATTTATATATAATGGGCATCATTACAATTGAACCCATCCTTCCTTTCTTATACTCCTAACCCCTGCAGGGATTGTTTCCAAGTATGCATTTTTAAATGTTTTGAGAAATTGGTTAACAGCAGTTCCCAACATTTTAAGTGGTGTATTTTAACTGAAGGATTCCAAAAGTATTACCTAAAGCTTTAATCCAACTCCTTCACCTATTTGTGAAGAAATTCAACTGCTAAAAACTCGTTAACTCCATAGAAACTGTAAAACTGTTATCTTAGGATTCACTGAAATATTTTTCATTCTACTTTGACTCTAAGTGGCTAAGTGTTTTCATGGAATTAAGATTTTTTAATCAGTTCTTAGGAGACTGAATAAATTTCATCACTTTCTATGTTGCAATATACTGAACATTGTTAAAGCTGCTTCTGCTAGGCATGATGGCACATGTCTTTAATYCCAGCTATTCAAGGATGAGGCAAGACACCAAAGTTAAGAGAGCAGCCAATTTACTGAGTACGGGTCTTAAAAAATTACAAAAGGCCTAGGGGTATAGCTCACTGGTATACTGCTTGCCTAACAGGTTCTAGGTTCAACCCCCAATACCAAGAAAAATATAACCAAGTCTCTATCTACTTGAGAACCTTCCATAACAAGGTACTTAAGTTTTTAAATGACCTAACTGAGCTCTCTAGCACTCCATACTGCCTAAAATTGGGCTACCTATCTGTAGGTTTGATTCCTGGTCTTTGATTTATGAGAATCCTTTTTTCAAACTTTTTCTAGAAGAGCTAACCAAGTTCAGGTTTTCTAATAAAATCAGGTCATTGCTTTCCTCAGGAACCTAACTACACCGTATCGCATAACTTCCAGAAATAGTTTTGACTATTCCTCAAGCTGATAATTTGTTGAAATCCACTGAGTTACAGCTAATCTCAAAAAAAAAAAAAAWTTAGTTCAGATTCACATTTAAAAATATTGAATTTTGGGGGGCTGGGATTGTGGCTCAGCAGTAGAGCACTCGCCTAGCACACACGGGGCCCTGGGTTCAATCCTCAGCACCACATAAAAATTAAAAAAAGGGTATTATGTCTGACTACAACTAAAAAAACAAATATTAAAAAACTGAATTAGTCTAGTAACTTATGACATAGCTCCAAATTTATTTCACTTGAAACCCTAATAAGTCTGGTTTGAAAGATCTATTTAGACATGTCTACTTTTGAGCACAGTTGGATATGCATAGGAATTTCAGCTTACGGTTTGGTTTGATTTGAATGTCACTGTTTAAAAAGTAGCAAGGAGGAAAGCAAATCATTTCTTTTTTTAAGGATATCCACTGATAAGCACAGATGCTRGAATCCAAAATATAACCAATACTGATTCCCAAACATTTTGAAAATTAAGTACCAACAAACTGGCAAAGCCAGGACTGTAAATTATTCATTTTCCCAATTTACTACCTGCCCACTATAACTTTATATTAGAATCCCTCTAAAGCCTTTTCCTAGTTTAAAGCACCCCATACAATAAATCAGAATAGGGATTAATGCTGTGCATAAAATTTCCAACATGTAACCAAAGTTATGAGCCACCATGTTACATAGAACTGCACAATCAATGCAGTTTCATACACTAGAATTAGGGGAATTCAGTTTTCAGATTTAAATAAGGGCAAAAATACATTGGTTTGGTGGTTTCTAGGAAATGGTTTTGATACCTGAAAAGCAAGGTAAAATTAATGACAAAAGCCAACAGAATTTAACAACTGAATATCAATTTATTAAAACAGTTGACTTAGGCATCTGCAATGGTGACTTCGACTTCCACTCCTGGTTCAATACTGATGGAAGTAATCTGTTTAACAATCTCAGAGGGGCTGTGCAAGTCAATGAGTCGCTTGTGTATTCTCATCTGGAAACGATCCCATGTCTTGGAACCYTCACCACAAGGTGTTTTTCTTGTAGTGATCCTCAAAGTCTGCAACAAAAAACAAAACCAAGTGTTTTTTGCATATCCCTGAGCATAGATACCACTATTTAAAAATACAACTGTTTTTAYCCCGCCCTTACAGTCTGTGTCAATAAGGACCGGACTGTACCCCAAGACTGTCACTTCATACACTAGACGCTACAAACCTAATTCCACCAGTTTTTATTTGAATCTGTGGACCCATAAACAACTACTTCCTGTTATTTATTTTACCTTCGTAGGCATGCGAACAGGTCCTTTCACTTTGAGATTCTTTTCCTTTGCGCCTCTGATCAAGTCGGCACACACTACAAGGAAATACATGCACCTCTCAGTTCTTTAAAATCAATTAAATTAAAACCCGTTTAAGAAACTCCAATCTAAGTTGGCTCAGAATAGCGTATAAAAACTATCACCATAATTCAACACGGTAGGTATCTCCTCATCGCCAACGTTTTAAGGTCCGAAAAGCAACGAATGTCKAACAGTAAACCAAAAACATTGCTTTTCCTCCAAATGCCTCGCTCCCAAGCGATTCAACAGACCTTTCTCGAGCGACTTCACGTTGCGGCTGGTAAGGGTAATTCTGATTCGATGAATCGCCACCTCTGGTTCCACGGGTGTCTTTCCGGTGTCTTTAAATGCCTGTTATCACACATACAAGATAAAAAGCGAACGAATAAGCAAAGAAAAAGAAAAAACACCCCACTCAAACCTCAGATTTTCTCCATTGTTTCACCAGTAACATCCCCGGATCCCACACCACAGCAGAAGCCCTATGCCCGCCAAGTGAGACCAGGCTTCCGCTGCCTCTTAGATCCCGGCCACCACTCCAGCATTCCACCGGCCCACGGCTGAGTCCCACTGGCGCCCAAAGCCGYGCTTCACGGTTCCTCGGCTCACCATGGCTGCGGCGCAGCTTCCTGACCGACTTGTTCCTCGGCAAGAGTGAACAGCGGTGAGTCAGGAGCAGAAGCGGGCAGAGGACTGCTCCTCCGCACCAACGACCGCGTCAGTCGCTAAAAGAAATGCATGAGGCTCGGGTGGAGATTTTATAGACCACCTGCATCCGGGTTTCTCAAGCCCCGGAAGCGGAATCGCTCCGCGCGCTGAAAAGGAGACAGCGTGAGGCTGGGCTAGAGAACCCGTAGAGCTGGCGGGAAAAGTGCGCCTGCGGACGCCCCCTGCTGTCCAGGAGGAGCCAAAGCCCCTCGAGGTTGGGTCCGGGCTCACGTATCTATTCGCACGTCCTCTGGCCACCTGGCAGAAATGACGGGCGACCCTGAAACCTGAGAAACTACCTCTGGGGCGTTCTCCCTCGCCCTCGGGTAAAAGTGCAAACGACCCCTGCGGTTTCTGCAGTGCAAATTTTTGTTTCTGATACAAAGCCAACCCACTCACTGTTGTGTGAACTAGTAACTTTTCTGAGTTAGTAACTGACGCGGCGTTTAGAAAAATGAGCCTGACGAGTTAGATCTGCTACTTTGCGGGGACGGGGGGTGGTAGGGGGAGGGAACCCAGGGGCTCTCTGCCACTTGGCTGTAGCCCCAACCCCTTTTGAAGTTTGTATCTTGAGGCAGGGACCTCACTAAGTTTCCCAGGCTGGCCTTGAAGTTGGGATCCTCCTGCCTCGACTCCCAAGTGGCCAGGGTTACAGACCTGAGACACCAAGCCCTGGCTGAGAGGGGCGGAGACACAGGACAGAAGGAAGAGGAGATAAACTCCTATTACTTTACAGGCGAAACTCCCAGCGAAAGGAAGTATTTGTTCCTACCCACCGAACAGGTGAGGGACACAGCACTGACCTCGCTCCCATCAGAGCTCTTTCTCCAAGTTTCCTCTTCTGATTCTTGTGGGTAAATCACAACTGAAACTTTCATCAGATAATAGCGTCGACTTACTTGCTTGGTGGCAAAATGAACCTGAGTGATAACTCGGTTTTGTTTTGTTCGAGTCAAAACACACACACACACACACACACACACACACACACACACACACACACACATTAGGGTTTGCTGCAATTTAACAATTAATTTAATGTTAAAATCTGCATACTTTCTAGTTCCAATATTTTTTAATGTGAACTATTAGCTGTAACTATTCTATTGGTAGAATGTGCCACACAAAAAAAAAAAAAAAAAAAATCTGAAAACCTTGTTTTAGAAGCTGTCTTCTCTATGAGACTTCACATCTTCAGGCTTTAACTTATTGATATGTTTATCTGCAACAAATAGACAAAAATGCAATTGCCTAGCTCCCTGGGATATGAAAAACCACCACTGTATTTACTACCAAAGCTGAATGTAGATCTTCAGAGAAARTGTACAGTGACATTGATGTTTCACACAGATGTGAGCTACTTRTTGAAGAAAAAAGTAGAAATTAGCAGTAGCAAAAAATAAAAAGGTGCATAATTCCATCATTCTGAGATAACCACTGTTTACATCTGCAGAGATGTATTTTTTTTAAAAAATGGGCCCCTGCCCTATGTACAGGTCAAGTCACATAATGTTTTATCAGAATAAATATACTTAGAGCAATATCTATTTTCATGACAGTGTCATCATGAATTATATGGATGATTCTTTCRTTTGTTGGACCAGTCTTCTATTTACAAACATTTTTACATTTTTCTTTTTATGAACAATACCATAAGGTACATGCTGGTAGATTAGGGTTTCTCAATCTCAACCCAATTGACATTCTGGGACAGATAGTTCCTTATTTGTGGGGGGCTGTCCTGTGTATTTAGGATGTTTAGCAACATCTCTGGATCTTACCCACTAGCTACCACTAGATAACCCTTCCTTCCAGTTGTGAGAATCAAACATGTCTCTAGACATTGTCAAATGTCTCCTGTAAGACACAACTACTCTGGCCCCATTGATCTGCAGTGTTGTAGATCAATCTTTTAGCTCCTCCTTGGCATCACATAAATTACTAAATATTCTTATACACTGGATGACTTAATCAAAGAATAAGTTYTTAAATATTTAAGCTTAAATTAAGTAAGTTGCCCTCTGAGAAAATTGTACCCCAAAACATATTTCTCCCAGCAGTATAAAAATTCAATAAATTAAATATATATATTTCATTTTGACTTTTAAAATATTCCTAAGACCATTATGAAATATGTATTTTCAATCTCTCTCTCTCTCTCTCTCTGTAGCTCTTCTTTACTAATTTTGGAAGTTCTTTTAAAGTCATCTTAGAAAACCTGTATACTGCAGGGTGGGTCTGTAGATGGCCACCTACTGGTATTTTACTGCAATGACAGTGTCATCCTACAATTTTGTTTTTTTTTTTTAACAGCCGTAAAAAATGATTTCATTCATGGTTAGATTTATGAATGAATTAACAAAGGCAAGTTGTCACATGAGTGTGGATTAGTCTGTTTAGACATTACATTATTTTGAATTTTGGATCTAAACATAATTTTTCAGTGTTTGAACTTCTTCAGTCTGAAATTTAAGAATAAAAGTGGGTGCAAGTTTGAAACTTTCTCTCGTGATTGCCCATTTTGTATTGGTCAGGGAATGGACAACGGAGGTGATTTCTCATGGTTTCCTAGGATGAAACGTGAGGACTGAGAACACTACTCATCCTGTGATAGCCAGCACTGTCAGAAGTATTCTTCAGTCACTCCATCTTCACATAGACCCCTGGAGATAAGTACTGTTATTCATACTCGATTCATAAAATGAAGCTAAATAATCTGTCCAAGGTCCCAGGAAAAGCCAGTGTTTGAATCCATGCTGTCTCTTTTTTAGGCTCTGCAGTCAACCCATGTGCTGCACTCTCAGATAGTTTAGGGCCCATCTTTATTAGTAGCGGCATTACATCTGAGACAAGTAAAGTCCTATTATATTAACCAACATGTGCTAAAGGACTTTATGTATTTCACTATACAGTACTCCCCACTTACCTGGACGGGATGTTTCAAGACCCCCCAGTGGTTGCCTGAAACCTCAGATAGCATAGAAGCCTATATATATTATGCCTTTTCCTATACATTCAGATATACCTATGAAGAAGTTTAATCTATAAGTTAGGCACAGTAAGTGAATAACAGCAGTGGCTAATAATAAAATACGATRATTATAACTAGAAACTGCAATAAAAGTTTGTGAATGTGGTCCCTGCCCCAAATATCTTTACTGTACTGTTCTTGCCCTTCTTCTTGTGATGATGTAAGATGATATAATGCTGATGTGATGAGATGAAGTGAGGTGAATGAAGCAGGCATCGCATTAGCTCACTGATGCCCTTTGGGTGACACATTAGGAGGAGTGTTAGGTGATCCTGGCTAATTTTCCACTTAATATTTTTGTTTTTTTTTTTTTTTGTCAGTACTGACAACGGATAACTGAAAAGCAAAACTGCGGATAAAGAAACCACTATAGTTGAAATCAGAGATTACTGAATTATTAAATGCCCCCATTATGAGGTAGTTTGCCCATTTTTTTTAACTCACTCATTCTTTTGTTTGAAGTTCCATAAATAACCAAGGCCAGTTAACTCTGTTTGCTTCTAAAAATCATTTTGCTAAAGTAAACAATGAAAAAAAGAATGAGGGACACGGTAAGATCTTTTTTCAAGCATGAATCATCTGGAACACGGGTTAGGTTGACAATTTTTAGTCTTAATTGAGCTCACAGAATTCTCTGGGGGTGGGAGTTGAATGTCTTCTCTAGGCACCCCAGTTCCTCTTCTTCCCTCTCTTGTTCTTCCTCTCTGGCCTGCATACATCGGAAAGTCACCCGTCTACCTCTATGACACAGTGCGGGTTCCTAGCTCTAAGATGACTTTCAGAAGATTTCTCCTGCCACGCTTTTGTGATCCTGATCTCAGGSAGAGGAGCTGGAGCTATTCATATCTATTAGTCACCCTAACTAGGCTTGTGGTTTTCATGTTGKAGAGAATGAATACCACATTTTAGAAATCATTTCCACCACTTGCTTTTCTTTATGAGAAGGTTGAATCTGTGGCCCTCCTCATACACTGATTCTGCCGCTTGCTTTTGTGTGGTAGATAGGTTCAAGCRTGGCCTTGTGTAATTCTCTCTATATGGGAGCTTGTGAGTTGCTTTCAAATACTAGAATTTGGCAATTCTAGTGCTGGAATGTCACTTCCATGAATAGAATGAATCGGTTTTTGACTTGTCTTGCTGGCAAATTCCTCCCTAGCAACCTGCCCTAGGAAGCTGCCCTAGGAAAAGTAGGAATTTCCTACTTAAAAGTGAAAGAGTGAAGGCTTTTCCCTTCAAGATCAGAAACAAGATAAAGGTGTCTGCTCTTGGCACTTCTATTCAACATTGTACTGGAGGTTCTAATCGGGGCAATTAGGCAAGAAAACCAAATCAAAGCSATCAAGATTGGAAAGGAAGAAATAATACTATTTCTAGTTTGTACATAAGATTATTTCATGTATGGAAAATCCTAAAAAAAT